ACAGGGAAAATCTGTCAGAACACCGAGTTTAATTTTTGGTATAAAATTTTGGGCACTGATACCTCTAACAGATATATTTTAAATAAACAGGTTGACCTAATTTTCAAAAACAGATTTGAAGAAGCTCTCTGGATTGCTAATACACTGCAGAAGTCATCCCATTCATCAAATGTTTTGATAATGCATTACTTTCTCATTAATCATGAGTTTTACTGTCATTGTTGATAATTTAAGGCATAATGGCATTCTGTTTGCCAGAGCTGATTTTCTGGGCATGCTTCAAGTGAGTTATTGAATTCCTTGAAAGAATTTTGCACGCAAAGCCAAGTAAGGATTTCATCCAACTCTTCTTTGTATCATCTGGATTTCCATTAATTTGAGTCAGAGTTCAAAATATTGACCATGCATCAAAACTATGTTTGCATTCATAGGCTACCAGTGTGTGTGGAAAGAAATCTCTTTCTCAAGAAAGTTCAAGTGGAAATCAGGTTTGGAAAGTTGACATGGAGGTACAAAACTCACAGCACGAAAAATCCTGTGCTGAATTTCAGGAAATGCATCTGTTGTAAAGAGAAGTTATTCCTAATCTTGTCTCCCATGTGGTCATTTACTGTTAATCGAGCATTTCCCATCTGTTCAGTGCTCTAGAAAGCTTCGCTTTGCTTCTCCACTGGTCTCTGGCATTACCCTCTTTCAAGTTTTTCTCTTTTTTTTTCCCCCCAGACGATTTGACTCCTACCTACACCATTAGGTTTTTGTGGCTCCATGTACAAACTGGGCTTAGTGACAAGCTCTGCAGCTGGACAGAAAAACTGCATTTGCTGAAACCACCACTAGGAGACTAGGCGTTACTTGAAGGTTCTAGAGACAGGTTCCTCAGTCCAATCCTCTGCTCAACTGATTTGGACTCATACTTCCATGGTACTCATGAATCATTGTAAATTGTCACACAGTGGTCTTCTCTTCTAAAATAATACCTATCAGCTCAACTTTTGCTGTGTTCAGTCATCATTTCCATCATAAAATTCTACTTTTTTGTACTTATAAAATATGGCAATAAAATACTGTGCCAAGACTAAACTTGGCATAGAGGTCCTGTCCAGAAGTAACCTCAATTCTTTTTCAGTTAGCAACTGAGCTGACTTACACACTTTTAAATCACTTAAAATGCAAGTTGTGGAGGTTCTGGTTTTCATTGTCACAGGTACACAGTTTCAGCATCCCTTTGCTACCCAGCCAAAACAGTTTGTAAAGAGTGCTGAACACGAGTGTCCTGAGCAGGCCTTGTGCAGTACTTCCTCAGTTCAGTTTTTTGGGGAATAAATGGAATGGAGGTATTTTTCAGAAGTCGTCTTTTTACTACTTAACTCTAAGTTCTACATTCCGTGCCATCATTTAGGTTTTTTTTTTTTTTTTTCAGCAGTTTAGAGGCTCCTGCTTGCACTGGGACTCTGCTATGCTGTGCATTTACTTACTCAGTTCACAACCTCCAGCCCTGAAGCTGCGTCCTTACCCCAACATCCATCAGTTACATCAGTGAATCTTGGTAACAGCGATGTCTTTGTGAATGAATCCTACTGTTGGTTTTACTTTGTGTATATTTAAAGTGATTTGCTCTTCCCAGATGCTGGTTTCCAGGAACAAAAAGGGAAAATACATTATTACTTGGAATATCTACCCCATTCTGATTAATCACATCCATAACACAAACAAGCTTCCTGAGAAGACCGTTTGTTGCTGTCAAGTCTCAGCTGCTGCTGTCTTTTCTAGAGCATTTCAAACCATACACACACGCCACAGTTCAGCTTTCCCGTTGCTACAATGTGTTAGCAATTAATGTACAATAAACAAGCAGACAACTGTTCCATTTCCAGGGAATAAAATCTCCAAGGAAATAAAATGGAATAGAAACTAACCATCCTTCCCCATATCCTGAGAGTTAAAAATAGAGAAAGAAATTAACTCCACAAAGACATCACAGTTTTAAGTCTACAGTTAAACAGCCACTTCAGTTTGGCATCCGCTTTTACTGCTCCTGAAGTCCTGTCCTCTCCTGATCCATAACTATTCCCTGCTTCTCCTTCGTGCTAGCACAGAGTTCAAGCAACCCCATGATACAGCAAGCCAAAGAGTTCTCAACTCGAAACAAGTAGGTTTTTTTTGCTTAGGTTAGCTTTCAGCTGGGCCGGTCCCTTTATCTGGTACTACAGTGAGTCATGGCAAACGCCAAAATATTAGTGGGTGAAATGAGGTGAGCATTGCATAAGCTGGTACGACTGCCAAAGAGACGCTCATGCAACCACAGTCCCAGTCTTATTCCTGAGGGTAGAAATGTGAGAGGAAAACTGCTTTCTCCATCAGCTTTTCTCTCTCTTCCCTCTGGCAATGGCAGCCTCACAAGTTCTTGGGGTCTGGAGCATCTTATGCATGACATGACTGCTAGGAGGTGCTGGGAAAACCCCAGAAATGCACTGATAATGATCACCGCTGATAACAAACACAATCAGAAGACACTGCTCTGATCTGGTGCAAATGAAGGCTCTCCTTTGTCAACATGATGTCATTACTTCCTCAGTTTGAGGGCTCAAGGAAGGAGACTACACCATTGAGAAAACAAACCATGAGAAGGTGAGGAAGAGAGTAAAACTTAAAGTCTTAGCACATCATTACTCTTTCACCAGAAAATCCCTTCTTCTAAGTAGCCCCTGTATTCAACTGCCAGAGGCCACTACACAATGTGGTTTTTCCTGCTGCCTGTGGTGAACACCACTTTGGGAAGGAAAATAAATAAGTAAATAAAGAAAGAAATAAAACTTATGGCTGGCTGCCTTGCAGTTTACAGCTCCCTCAAGTCTGCATTGGCCTTTGTTCTTCATGAAACATAACTTTCGAAAGCCTAGAGAGACTGCCCAAACAGTTTGGTAAACACTGACTTAAAGGAAGAGCATTTGCCTACTTCACTTGCTTCTAAAAACCACTAAGGCACTCATTATTTCTGTTCATTACAGTTTATTCCTACCTGTTACAATGCTGTTACTCTGAATATGGCTTGTGTCACAGGAAGGAAAGTGGAACTGATTGAACAGACTGTGGAATGACTTTGCTCTCAAAAAGGTATCTCAAGGAGTGAGCAATGCTCCTGACATGCTATTTAAAAGAAAACTGATGCTTAGCTAACAGTCCATAAAGAGAAAGAACTGGTGCTCTTGTTTAATGGTATTTCCCAGTGTCAATAATTGTAGTACACAAGTAACCACAGTAACTTCACACAAGTAAACTTGCACATATCTCTGTATAGTTAGGACAAATGGTGAACTGTTCCTCCCTGCATGTGCTTGAAAAGGCTGTAGTTACACATATTCACCAGTCTCTAAAAAGTATCTTTCTACACCCAGCTGGACTTCACACCTTTAAGAGTGCAGTTAAGCAGGCCACTCTGGCTCTAAACTGACTGTTTCTCTCAATCTGGGAAAACTTTTGCTGCCCCTGTGCTGTTGATTTAAGAGACTTCTGTGGCAATCTGACAACTCCAAAAGACTCAGACAGGAAAAAAAGGATTTAGCCCTACAAATACCATTATTTGAACTTCTCTTTCCACTGGCTAAAGATGAGTTCAGTGTAAAAAGAAAAGAAAAAAGAAACACAGACTTGGACTTTCAGAACTGCTCAGCATTTGTCTAGTCCTGCTTTAATTTATGTAGGTTAAGCCCACTAACCATCAGAGCACTTCTGGAAGTCTAAATGAGACTGTTGAACTAGGTTCTGAACTACATACTTCTTAGAGGAAAATGGAATGTGCATTATAATGTGTTACATACTATACAGTAAAAACACTGACTGTTCTTTTGCAGATCTCGCGTATACATTTTAAAGTGGTACAGAACTCAGCTGTTTTGTTCTGCACAGGTTCCCCTAATCATTTGTTTGGTTTTGATCCATCTGGATTTTCACCACAAAATTTTGCTTCGAGTTTTCAATATGAATAGAGGAAAGCTCTGCCAAAACCACATCATGTTCAAACCACAGGAAATCATGAATTTGGCACTGTTTTAACATGGAAGCTGTAAACAGTGTGCAGGTTCACTCAAAACTGGTTCACTGTCCTCTGAGTTATGAAACACAACAAAACTTCCAGCAGGCCAGGTCAGAAGTCTGAACTACTACAGCAAGGAGAAATTACGTGTCTTTAACATTGATCAGAATTTGGTTATATGTAATTTTCTCCTAGTTGTAGTTGTTGTTTTCTTTTTTCTTTTAGCTATAAACACATTACATAGAAGAATAAAAAGAGACACTGAGCTTTCCCCTTTCCAATTTTGAGTTAAAATAGGATTTTATGAGTTACTTCTCATAGCTCTGACATATGCACATTCTATTAAAGAGAGGATAGTTCCCTACTGGCAGCCTCAAACATGAATAACTGTAAAAGCCAGAACTATACTACAAGTACAATATAGTTTTCTGTGTTAAATAACACATTGTCAACTGTAGCTAACTTACGCCACTGCTACAGGAGCAGAACTCTTGTTTAAAATCCACATCAGACTTCCAGCTGCCAAACACTAGATTTTTTTTTCCAGGGTTCCCGTTAGCAAACCACAAGGAGCTTTTATGAAAATGGAAAAGTCTCAAGGATGATTTTTGCCTTCAAAATAAACACTGTCATAAAGAAATACATATTTGTAAAGAAGTCACAAGTTCACAGAGGATGAAGGGAAAACAATCTAGATTTCCAGACGATGCCTAAAAACAATTCAGCTTCCAAACCTACCCAAGCCAGAAGCTTGAAGATAGAGCTATATGAAAGCTATTCAAGTCAAGTCAAACAAAATGTAGTAATACAAAAGATGACTCTTATTACTTCAGTGCCTGCAAGAAAAAGGCATTCTAATCCCAGTGAACTCAATTTTTTTAAGTGATTTGTAAAACAGTTGTTTGAGCAGCAGAAAACCTCAGCAGGGATCCGTAATACAATGAACCACACTTTGGACAAATCTGACCTGTCATAGAGTTTTCAGATGTACACAGCTGCTCCCGTAGCTTTTCCACATCGTCTGGGTGAACCTGTTCATATAATGTGCTGCCAAACCATTCGGACTGCGGCTGGTTGAGCACGGGAGTCACTGAGTCCGATACGTAGATGACTCTCCCAGTCTCAGCTGCAACCACAAACAGGAACCCATCTGCAGCCTCCAGGATAAGATGTTTCAGTTCCTTCCAAAGAAGGGATTTGATTAGAAGGACGGCATGAAAAAGAAATTAAACAACACATCTGCCAGTGCCAAAGAATATTATTTTTAGTGACTTTAGTAGATGATCAAAACACTGGGAGAAGTTTTCTTTGTAGTACTGAAAAAATAGCACATTCAAGTTTGCAGCAAGACATAAACTGACCTTAGTAGCAAACAAAATTTTGTTTTCCTTTATTGCCTTTCATCAGGTGATCTCAATTCACATTAGGAAAATTAGCTAAGTAAAACTTGCTGTATGGTGCATGATTGGTATCTAATATTAAAAAAATAAAAATAAAAGTAATTTAAGAGTACTGAGGAAATTAAGGACTATAACTCATATGGCAATTTCATCCTTTAATTACGTGTCCTGGATAATTTAATTGGAAAGAAATGAACAAGCTCTCCTGTCCGCTTTTGTGGATTTTTCCCCCTCGGGATAAGCTCTGTTTGTAAATTAAACAGTCACTGGATGTAGACAGAAACTGTAACATGGGCAAGGATAGAAATCCCCAGCCTCCTCTCCCCTTAGGATGTTTGAGCACAAGAAAGTTGCATCATTTCTTGCTTTCCTTTTCCAATCTGTCCTTCACTTTCAGATACCTACTTCGTCTAGACACTCAACAGCTTGACATGCATATGCAAACAGCTGACTCCATGCATCACGTGGACGTGCTACCTTTGGTTAACAGAGCTTGAAAACTTCTCATGTGAAATGATGACAACTATTACTCCAATTCATAGAAAACAAGTTTCACAGCTCTTGCTTGGTGGCTCTTGTGAATGCAAGGGCTTGCTAAGATAGAGCAGTGAGTTACTGCGTCTGGAACTCAGAGCTTGGGATAATCCATACCTCAATTCAGGTAAGAGAGCAAGCAAGTGGCAGATACTATCTGGTAAAGTGAGGATTATAACCTGATGAATTCTCTGCTAAGGCCCCCGAAGAATGAATAACACATCTCGAGAAATACTTAACAGACTGAAGACTACTGCTGGCTTCAAAGCACACCAATTCTGAACATCTTATTAAATAAAAACCTCATTGCTGCACTATTCAAAGGATAATGAGACCTCTTTTGAATGCATTATTAACAAAGATTAAAATAAATTCTATCTTTCTGCAAGGTTCAAAAAACAAATTGCAATGTTAAGTAAGCAAGGTGTCGTACCAAAAAGGAGTTGAATGGCACAGCACCTCCAGAGGCACACTTTAGGAAAGCCAAAATAAGTAGAGATGTGAATACTGAGAAGTCCGCAGCAGCTGCTGTTTCTCTAACAAAAAAAAGAGTATTGCCTCTAGCCATAACTTACATGTGTAAGTACTTAAATTGTTCAGACCACAAAAATGCACATTACACCCATAGGACTTCACAAACAGTGAAGACAGTAGGAATTTCCAGTGCATGGAGTCAAACACAGTTTTTCTTCAAGTACTGGGTGCACCTTCCCTCCTGCACTAAAAATGTAACCGATAAAGTACCCCAGATGTTACAGATGGGATCCATCACAGCCCAGTTCAGCTGCCTAGAACTTCTTATAGAGCCTAAACAACCACAAACTAGAGCAAACATTTGTGAAAAGATCTACCTGTTCCGTAAGAAACGATGGCTTGTAAGCTCCATCAGTAGATTTGTTCCCAGTGCCCCTCATCGATTTCATGTGTGAAACAGCCATCCGAAGGATTGTCAGCTTGTCAGGCTTACGAGCCAACGCGCTACACGTGGGCACCATGTCAGACAGCTCCGTGATGTACTGTGTCATCTTATTTCTCCTGCGCCTCTCAATTTCACTGTGATTCTCTCTGATCATTTAGAGAAACACCAAACCAACAGAAAAACAGACATAATCAGTGTGAGATTTTCAAACAGAGGTAAGAGATTATAATACTTTGCACTTGCTTTGTAGTTATCATGTCAGGAGAGTAAAGTGCTTTTCAAAGCTGAGCACTATTATCTCTCAGTTTATAGCCAGAAAATCCAGGCCACAGGACGATTTGCCTATAGCTGTGGAATAACTCAAATTTCTATCCTGTGGGTTTCTGGCCTTAATCTCTTAATCTGTTTAGTTTCCTTTGGTTTAAGGACAAATAATAGAAGTAGAAAGATTTAATGTACACTTGCCAACTCCTGTCAAAGTACCAAATTTGCTGAAGGTGTGATGCACCACACACCCTCCAGACCTCGCTCAAGGTGTTGGCTAGGCTTATAGGAGGCCTCCTTTAGAGGAAAGCTCTCACTAGTAACTGGATCACATCTCAGTATGAAAGGAAAAAAAAACCCTGTGTCCCAGCTGAAAACACCCACTTAATGATGACAAAGATCTCCATGTCTCTAATGCTGTGTGCCAAGTCCAGCCTCCCAGTACGAGGCCTCATGCTTGCAGGGAGATGCTGTAGGATCAGACTGCAGGACTGAGACCATATATGGTGTAACACTACATTAAATAAATAAGTATATATATAAAGAAATACAAAAGACAGCAAGTAAACATCTGGCTCATCAGACATAGGTCAGAATTGATGACAAGAACAAACTAACACAGCAGGGAAGTAACAGTGACAGTACTTGATGCTGCCCTGCTACAGGCTGAGCTCTGATGTTCTCATCCTTTATAGAAAACATATGACTGAGCTGATGAGCCAACTCTGAGAATTCTCAAAACTGACAGTCACCAAAGTCTGCCAGAATTGAAGATCGCAGAGTTCAGTTTTCTCTTACTGTAAATCACCACTGTCTGATCACTATCAAGGAATTACACCAGTACATGCAACTGAGAGAGACAGTCCAAAGAGAGCTAGAATTCTTCAGTGCCTAGCACTTGTTTTTCACATACTGTACCTGTCAGATGGTAGTTAAATACAAGTATACAACAGATATGTGATACTTCAGATGTCAAAGCAGCATCTTCCACTGATTTCAATAAGCTCTGCATGGCATTCTCTTGTGGGATCTCTGGCTGATCCAACAAGATGACATGGTGATCACATGGAGAGTCCACCAGCACTTATCAGTATGATAACACAACTTGAAAAGAAATTCCAGCATTCTTTTAAATTGAATGTTATAAAGAATGATCATGAATGGCTTGGCACATTTTTCAATAAGTTTAATAGTAGAGCCTTTTCTTAAAATGAGAAGAAAAATCCAAGCTGTTGTATGCTGATTTCTAAAATAAAGGAACGCATGGGCTTGCACTACTTTACAGAATATATCCTCCTTCCTGCACATACAAGTGTTACACACAAGAGGCACTGTCTCCAGGAATGCTATGTGTTAGGGCTACTATTCCTACTGATGCCTACGCTACTGTACCAATACTCATGAAATCAAGGAATGTATGCCTGCAGTGACAGGCCACTGTGTTTTAGTAAATTACATGCAGTCCTTTGGAAAAGGTCACTACTGATTTAGCTATTTATTACAACTTCATAATGAAACTTTCCACTTCAAAGGGCTGATACACAGCCTCTGCGTGGTTTGTACATCTCTGGGAGAGAACAGAGCCTGTGAGAGCTGGACTGTATGCACACAAAAGCAAAACATCTTGTGTGACAATGTGCACGTACGTAAGAGCATGTGTGTACAACTCGGCATATATATGCAGATAAATACGGACAAAAAGAAAAATGCATTTTCACATGATGAAAGCTTGATCTAAATTCAGCATTTTCACAGAAATGGTAACTGAGAGACAAAAAACACAAATATTCAACATATATTTTACAATTACAAATATATGCTCCCCTATCTGCCACTAAGTTATCTTGATACTCCTAATCATCATAAACAACTATTGTAAAGAATAAACACACAGCAAAAGAAAGAGAAGAAAAATAAGAATATTCCATAGTCCATTTTATTTATGATCACAGAGAGTAATAGCATGTTAACCAACTGGCTGTGAAAGGGATCAACCAAACGAAACTCTGAAAGTTTCCTGAAACTAGCTCAAACTTAAAACTCCTAAAAGACAGATTGTATTCCTTTTCCAAAAGGTCTGCCCATGGAACCCTGGCATTCATAAACATGCATTCAGTATGATGTCCTAATTCTGTAATTTCTAACTTTGTTTTTGCATGGGAGTTTTGGAGGAACATCACATTTTGAGAGATTGTGGGAGCTGATTCAAACCCACAAAGGTCCAAGGTTTGTGTTTCTGGCTTCAAGAATTTTTAGACCCTTTCTACTTTTGATTAGTCAGAAGGACATCACAGAAAACAAAAATGGGAAGAAATAACTTTTGATTTTCCTTCTTTGCACCTGGCTATCCTTTCTGTGTCAGCAGTACTTTGATCATCATCCCACCTAGAAACAAAATAACCAGTTCTCTAAGCTAAGGCACACATACTGAGATGCTTTGGATATGACCATTCCCTTCTTTTCTCTCAGCAGGAGACCTCTCAGGAACATGCCTACCTTGCAAACTTTTCCTTATCACCAGATATTTGATCACCATCATACCTATAAACAAAAAACAGTAAGTAAATTCAGGAGGGTTATACACTTATGAAAGTCAACACGCAGCAGAAAGCAAAGAGATTCACGACTGCAAACTATTACAAAAAACAGCAAGAAAAATGAGGGCATGAAAACGATAAAGCAAAGAAATTATGGAGTTTAATGGAACTTCCAAGCCATGCCAATTCAAAAACTTCCTTCGAACATTTAAAAAACAATTGAAGATACATTTCATTGGATTTATGCAAACACTAACATACACTCATCACTTGGGAAACTTCACAACCAGCACCATTACAGAAAACACCACTGAGCTTCTATTGACAGCAGCCCATGAAATATTCATTGCTATGTTGGAAGTGAAAGAGAGTTATCTTTTCCAGATTGCAACCACAACTCAGCAGAGGGCACTGATGGTCTACAGATAACACGGCAGGGCAGAGAGACACACACTTAAGTGCAATGCATTATACAGAGATGCCTTCAGAAAAAAAGCTCTAGTAGGTATCTACACTGTACCACTTGTTGGAAAGACTGGCAAAAGCTGGGCAGGCGTGAAACTGCTGGGTAAATAGAAGTGAAATTATAACTGGCTTAGATCCCTAAAAGTAAGCAGATACCTCATTCCTTTCTGAATTAACAGAAGTCTGTGCTTGCAGCAAATCAACAAGGATATCCAGACCCATGAGATTTCAGCCCCATGTGATTCAACTTTCACTCTTTCTGATGTGTTGACCCAGAGATATGCAGCAATGCAACATTTAATTGAAAAATAATATGTTCCTCATATGCTTTTCCTATGAAAGGCATCAAGCCTTTGAAATTAATTTTGCTAAAGCAGTTACAAAAAGACATACTTTTGCATCTCGAAAAACATATTTGGAGAAATCAAAACTCTTGCTCCAAAACAGAAAATGCAGGTTCTTTACAACACAAAAATAAAACAAAATAAGCAAATGGCTTTTCCAGAACTGAGACTATTACTACTGAACAGCAAAGACAGATTTTGTTTCAGAATTACGCCTTTCTAAAACAATGTTATTTACTGCTAAAGAGAGCCTAAGGAGCTTCCACATATTACCTGATAAGTAAAGATGGTATAAGCAAGCATCTTTTCTGGTCTAAAATACTAATTATTTTTCTTTTTTTCTTCACAGATGAGTTGAAAGTAATTTTAAGTAGCCAAAACATACAAAATCTTCTGAGACTTATTTTCCTTCCTCATTAAATCTCATTCACACTCTCATGCCAAAGCTTAAGTGAGACTTGAGCTGCACTCCTTTCTACATTACATTTAGCACTAGCACCCTCAAAACATTCAAGCAAGAAGTCACTTTCTTCCACTTGAGTCTGCCCAGAGAACATACGGAGCTCTACAAAGTTTAAACAAAAAGACAGATTCAATGAGGAATTGCCATATACCATTAGGTGAGAAGTACATGCATCTCCATGTGCCCATGACAAGCCATGCAGATACCTGAGCTGGCTGGGAACTCGCTGAGAAGTGAGGTGTGTTAACTCACACAGAGCACCAAGCTAACACCACTATCTACAGAGATGCCCTAACTCGTGGTTTGCCTGCTCACCCTCATCTGGCTGGTTGCTCAAGATGCTGCTGCCTCCACTACATTTTTTTCCCTTCCAGCTCCACAGCTGACCTCTCTGAGTGGATCCTTCCCGAGGTACTCCATCTCTGCACTGTTCTTCTGTACCCTCTCCAAAAATAGAACCATCTGGGATTTCTACAGCGTTTAAGATTTAAAAATCACATTTTGATCTAGCATCTAAAATCAGAGACGAAGCACAGCAAAAAAGATTATGGAACTGCTGGCTCTTCCCCCCAAATTTTCAAAGGCTGAAGCCAAGGGCAGAGCCAGACAAAAGTGTGTGCAGCACTGTGTCTAGAAACCCTGACGCTAGTACAGGCACAAATTAGGCTTTATTAGTCATGAATCAGCAACAGGCATCTTCTAGAAAGTGTTAGGACTAGCCTTCAGCCCATTAGTTTTAGTACCACAGTCTGGAACATGCTTTCAGTAAACGATAACAGCTGAACATGAGTGCTGCTGGTTCCATCCACAAGGTTATGCTATGGTGTTACAGCACATCTTCAGCATACTTTTCTTTCAGACTGGCTAGGATGGTAATGTTAAAACCCTACAGTGACAGCTATGCTTGAATATGTCTGCAGCTACATCACTGCAATTACAATTTGAGCAATTAGCAGTTATCTGTAGGCCTCAAAGCACCTATTCCAAGAGTAGCCACTTGGTTTCTGATGAAAAAATGCAGATAGTGTGATCAGAACAAAAGGAAAAGCAAGAAATGGCAATGATGCTTCAATGCTTGTTTTTATTTCTAGCATAGAATATTCCATGTTAACTATAATATTAATATTTATTTTGGCAATTTTTACTATCCAATTACACCTAATGGTACGTAATGAGCTTTAATCTCAAAAAAAAAAAAAATAATAATCCACACCTCTAGATCTGTTGTGTCTTAACAAGCAGTTAACATCTGAGTTCAAAATAAAGTTTGTTTTCAGTGGCAGAAAGACAACTTCAGCAATGTAAAATAACCAAAGTTCATTTATAGCAGCTGAAATACTAAGCTATGTCAAATGAGGAGAACTGCAATTTTTAGCTGCAGATGAAGTTATTATGACACAAGCATACTGTCAGCTTTGCAAGCCAATAGCTATACTGAGCAAATTCCTGCCAGTATGCCTAACCTGCAGAGGAAGCAGGTAAAAAGCTGACTAGAATTTAAGACAAGTTGTGTGGCTATGGGCTGAAGAAGCTGCCAACAGACTTTAAAATAGCAGCACTGAGAAAGCTGTCTTCCTCCACTGAAAGAGTCAACAATTTGGCCAACTCCTCATGAAGGCTCACCTTGAAAATTTGCTGGGTCCCTCCCCATCTTCATCATCGAAATCCATTCTGTAAAAGGAAGATTTCCAAATACGTAATCATGAAATTGGCAATGGTGTTATACACATTCAAGCCAGCAGTTCTCAATCTTGTTTAGTTTGTACTTGTAACTGGAGGTGTTAACGACCGTAGATTCAGTGTCATACATGCTCTCCAGATCCTCTGAAAGTAGTTCAGAATAGAGCCAGGAATACGAGGAACACAACAAACAACAACAAATAAACCCTCACTCTGTTCTGCTCTCCAAAGATCTGCACCGCCTACATTAACAAATAATAGAAAATATTAGACAAGTGCAGCTCCTGTGAAGCAATGATAAGAACTCTCTCTTAGGCCTGATAGAAGCCTTCAGAAATCAGTACAGACTGCACAAGAGAACTGAAATTCTGCCTGAAGAATATAAAGTTCTGCAGGTACACATTGTTTTTACCTCTGTTTTAAAGATTACATTGGAGGTAGAGCAGAATAAACTCCCAGCCTCTCTGCTGAGAGGATCACGTACTTTGCCTCTATTGATTTTAACTGCAATACGTTCTTTAGCCCTGTCCTGTACTACCACATTTCACAAGAATTATCAGCCAGCCTGCAGGTGGCAATTACATCGCGGTCCTCATCTAGGCTGCACTGAAGTGACCTATGGGTCTACCTAACTTACCTTCATGTCCAAGACCTCCTTAAGTCAACAGAAGAGACGAGCTTTTCCTTGGGCCAAATCCCAGCCATCCAGCTGGGCTGCTCTGGGGAGCCACAAAAATCAGGAACCTTTCCTTGCTCGTAACACAGTGAGACTGGGAAGATTAACCTCCTAAATTAGCCAACTACATTACTCTCCTAGGTCAGGCAGCATGATCATCTCCTTCCTGTTGATGTTAAGTTGCTACAAATTCTGTAAAAGTAGTAATGTTTCCAAGCATTTTACACCTCTACGAAGAGGTAGACGAATAGACATCCCATTAATAACAGAGGTGACTTTGGCATTACATCAGACTGAGAACCAAGCCAATATAAAATTTTCAGATACAGTTATTGTATTGGTATATTAATTTTAATAAAGAAGTATGTTAGTATGATGGAGACTTGAGCAGCCACATAAAAGTAATTCATGTAGATTGAAAATCATAGTTTCGTTTTATAAAGGGTTTTGTTGAGTTTCTGCACATTCTAAGTTTTCTAACATTTCAATGTAATAAATTTGATATAATTACCAATTCAATGTCTCTACCACTTCACGTTAACAATAGGCATGTCATATTAACTGCAAAACTCTGCAAAGTGACAATGATATTTATCTCAATATTAAAAATCGTTTCAAATTAAAAATTAAGATTTGTATGCTCAGAGCATGCAAACAATGGTGTAAGAACTCTTCATAATTAAACGAACATAACAGCAGTATGTGCCCCAGCTAGACAGTACAGCATTGCTTCCTTATTTTGATATCAAAGACAGACTGGTCTATAAAAGATGCATCTGACTCACAGCAACCTACGTTCAATCAGGACACAAGCAGCAAATATGTAAAGGAATTGGAAACGGCAGAGTAATATTTTCCAGATGGCAACAGTGGTTATTCATTGCTAGAGGAAGCAGGGAGAAAATCGTTTTCCCAAAGGAGTCTTAAGAAGAAATACATCTTTAATTTGGTTAAGTTTGATGAAATCATCATTTTCACAAGAAACTGCATTTTTGCTCACCCAATTATCACCAAATCCAGCCTGTAAACCACTTCCCTTGGCAGTGACCTCACAGCTGCGTTGTGCAGAACAACACCGACCTCCAGCGGCCAGCCACACGTGCTGTGCTACGCCAGGACCCTTCCTCAGAGATTCAGCTGGGATGCATTCATTTTCTATTCCCTTCTTCTTCCGCTCCAATGCACTAGGATTACACTAGGATTATATGCCTCGGTATTTTCTTGGCTTCCAATTAAATACTTTAACTGAGTGCTAAGAGATGAATTTCCCCGTCACCACACCAAATCAAATATTGGCTCTACTGCATTGAGTCTATTTTATTATTTCTAAAGTGCAATACAGAAAATGACAGAGAAACTATGAGAGCCTAAGGCTCAGTCTTGCTGCGCATGCTGTATGCACAGCCCTACTCACCCATTTGGAAGTAACTCATCAGTTTATCCAAGTGGCTGGATACCTGTTTCTCTTCTTATGAATCCTGATCTTTCAACTTCTTTAGGTCATTCCTACCATATTTACAGTAGGTTCACCACAATCTGCTACCAGACTGCAGCAGACTCAAGTCTTTAAGATCTTTGCTTTGTAAGACTACTAGAAAATCTCAACTTCTTTTCCAAATGCAAAAAAAAAAAAATTACATGAAGTTCATAAGAATGTCAATATTTGTAAAAATGGAAGTGCATCCCTATCCCACTGTTGTTAATAAAGAAGTTTCCTAATTTTGGTGTGCAGCATGAAATAAATCTCAGCTTTAAATGAAGTGATTTCAGCTCCCTGACAGAATCACTGCATTTGCTTTACAGTAAGGCAAACTTAAAGATAGGAATCAGCTGCAACCTTTAGCTGAACACAGCAAAACACACCAAAATAATATTCCAACAAACTCCTCTACCCTGACAGATAAGATCTTCTGTTCAGATAGAATATACTGCACATTAGCAGAACAGTGGAAGCAGCCTCAAAGAAGACAAATGATATCATTTCTGAAGTTACTGAAGAAGTATCTTATCTTCATTTAAAATTCCCATTAAAAAGAGACTTTAAGAAAGAGCTGCACTGTACTCTTTTGTTTTGAATATAAATCGTTTCCCTTTCTCACACTGATCACATCAATCTGTGAAAGGAATTGACGTATGAGGTACTTATTAAAATCTATTTTCCTCAAGAAGACATGTGAGCAACATAAGTAATGTGACAAAAATATGTTTTTTATTTATATTTCATTAGAAACATTTCCATACAAAAAAAAAAAACTAAAAAAAAAAAAGAAAAAACCATAAGGAGGTTCTGCACAGGTTAAAAAATGAGATGGGAAGGGATTTGAGCACTGAAGCAAAATGGCTACGTAAAATTCCCAAGCAATGCTGAGTATGTTCAGCATGGGAAGGGGCAGAGAGGAGAGCTGGGAGCAGCACTGAGCTGTGTATGGGGTGTGCACTGCAACCCCTCGTGCAGAATGGGGTGGGGGAGAGATGGGAGAGCGGTCAGACCTGCTCAGATCTCCCAGTTCTGCATTAGAAAAAAGACAGGAGTGTGTGATGGAATGGAACAGAACCAGTGCAACTGTAAAATCACAAGAACTCAGCCCTCCACGACTGCAGAAAAAGCCCGTTATCTTCCAATACAACAAAGCCTAAAGAAAAACTACCTTATGTAAGGAAGTTATTGATCAAAGCAATGTATTAGCTTACACACTACTAGGCTCTCACTTTTTTCTATGAAGCACTCCGTATAATCTGTAGAAAGGAAAAATATTTTTCTGAGCTGTCAGTGAGCTGAATGCCTGCACCACAGAAACACCTCCTGGATAGCCAATGAGCTCAAACTGATCTACATTCAAGACCATGCAGCAATTATTCTGCCAGCTTGCCTCAGCAATTATGAGAAAAGAAACAATTTTCAGAGATAACTGAAGCTAGAAAAGACGACTGCGTTCAGAGCTATATTCCTTTATGCCCGACACAAAGCACTCATTTCTAAAATGCCCAAGGATTTAGGTGCATAAAGATGCACCACCAGGGCAGTAATGAAAGGACCAAGTGTTAGCTGCAACTTTGTTCAAAGAGACGCTACAAGGCATCAGACACAGCAGGCATTCTTTCCCTCCAGGCCTGAATACTGCACAGCAAAGGACAAAAATGCACCCCCGGCTCAGGCTTGAAGAAGGGCTGCTGGTTTAGAGCCACAGCGCACAGATGAAACACCACAGTCTGGATATAGCTGCAAATTTATACTATCTTATTCACTGAATTTGCATATTAAATACATTTCAAATAATTTGATTTTACGTTCCTCCCATCCTCCCTCACTCCCCTTCCTCGCAAATGGATTGGGGATACTTAAAATGCAGTGTTTAAAGTACAGCCTTCAATTAATTATCAAATCAGTACGTAGTATAATCAGAAGATTTCACAGTCAGCAGCATCAGCCCTTGGCAACACAATTTGCAAGCCGGCGTGCATACTTGTTGTGGCTTATGATAAAAAAAGAGATCAAGTATCCTTTAACCCAAAAGCACAAGAGGTTATACATGCTATGTAGCAGTGAAAAGTTTCTAATGCTCTATTTCTTCTTCTGAGGGCATATTTGAACAGGCTTTGTCACTAAAATGTTTCCCAACATAAACGTAACGTCTGTCAAAAACAGATTTTGGGTAATTTTTCCAAGCTATCTTACACAACTGGCTCAGCTCATGAAAGCACACTCAAAGGGGAACAACCATCCTGTCCAAAGGAAGCCCCCCCCCCCCCAGGCAGTCCCACAAGCCCAATGGTGTGCCCAAGGTAAGGCCCACATTCTCCTTCCTCAACTTGTTCCAGGAGCAAGGCTCCAGCACTGCTCCTCAACGCAGCACCCAGGACTGGATGGCTCTCACAGGGAATCAGGGCTTCTCACCAGGTGCCTGTCAGTAAAGATTTTATTCAAGCTACCATTCATTCTGAGTCCTTCCACCACAATGTTTAGGGCTAAATAAAAGACTAATTGATCTCTTTTGCAGGCAGGAACTCTGGGAAAGAATCACTTACAGATCATTACTTATGATGAAGCCTTTTTTTTTTTTAAAAAAAAGTATTTTTGATAATATTAGAGAGTGATTTGTTGTTCTTCTGTATCTCTCAAGACACCTTTCTTCTAATACAGATTACTATGATTCTATGAGTTGCCATAGAACAACCTGATGTGGAAAAGCTATGGCAACATCACATCAACTTTTACATTTGGAAAAAACAGATTTTTTTCTTTAGCAGGACACTCATGTAGGTGAGGAGCTTGACTTGATTTAGGCTCCTTCTCCCCAAGCTGGAGAGACCCTGCTGCAGTTCCATTGAGGCTTAGAATGTCACAGACCACAAACACCAAACAGAGAGGCTGTTCATGCTGTCCATGTACCTGGGACTATTAAGCAAACATTCTCAACAGAAGGCACCAATTTGAGAGATTCCAGGTCCACTTTTCAGATGAAGTTGGATAGCAGGCAAGCACAAGCAAGAACAAATCTTTCTACCTTTATTCACATGATAAATTCTTGAGATTAAACAGATGTAGGCAACGTGCAATCGTTACATGAAAAACAGCCACAGGATCCAAATTCTGCTTCTGGATGCTTTGCCAAATCCGAAAATCTTTTGAAGTGTGCAAAACAACAAACAGTACTCTTATCAGCAAGTTTGATCTTGCAGGAAGAACAGATAGATTGAAGAGAAAAACAGAACACCAGTGACTAATGCCGTAAGACAGTTACCTACATTAACATTACATAATAAACATACATACAGACGGATATTTTCAGTTTCAGCCCTGCAGACATGCCTTACCCGGAGCGTCGCTTTCCTCCTCTGGAAGGCATGGACCCTGCCATTCTCACTTGGCCGCTTGCCATCGGTGCCACCGGCAAGGCCACCGAGCCAGGAATATCAGATGCCATTTCTGTAAGACAGAAGCAGGGAAAGAGAGAGAGAAAAACCTTTAATCCACCACCCCCAAGCAGACAACGGCAGCAACAAAATTAGAGAAAAGCTCTCTCAAAAACAAGCAGGGAAAAGCTTTCCTTTTTTTCCTCCTCTAAGAGAAAGAAATGCTCTCCCACCAAAGCCAAGCAAGTTTTCAGCCCCCTCACAACAAGTCTAGGTTTGTCAATAGCCATTAAGAGTGCCTTGGGAGGCAGATGAAAGAACACAGAGTACAGCAGGTCCCTCTGTATTTTAGTTTACCTGAGACTGCTACAGCTCAGCTTCTCAGATGGGCTGTCATATGAAGGCCAACAACCCCTCACAGCTAAACTGCCCCGTTCAGATACACAGTGCTGCATTTCCAAGACAAATGTAGCTGTAGGTACTGAGAAAAATAAAACTTCGAGGACATCTCAGTCTTCCAAAGTCGTCAAGAGTTAAGAGAGGCAACGAATTCCCAGGTGATGCTTTTGTTTTTATTACTTGTATTCTAGCAGTATTCCAAAGACAGGGCTGAACTCAGAGAGCTACAAGCCTTTCTGTATTTCAGCGTGGCACTTAGTAGAGCTAACCCAAGCCCCAGACACAAACATTCACCCCTCTCCAGAAGGGGCCTTGGGCAACCTGATCCAATGCCTGATATTGTGGTTGGCAACCCTGCAGGCTGGGGTTGGAACTAGATGATCTTTGAGGTCTCTTCCAACCCAAGCCACTATATGATTCCACGATACAGCCCCAGCTTAATGAGATCCTCAACCCCAAATCTTTGACCTGAGAATTAGCAACAGCACACCTGACACCTTCAGACCACTAATGGCAAGTATTTTTACAACCTATTAATAACAGTCTATTACAGTTTTAAAAAAGAAAAATGGACTATAACATTTATATCCTTTTCTCTTGTTCCATGAATTACGCACGTTTTATCTCTGTGCAACTCCTGTAAAACATGCAAGCAATTAAAACTTTTTAAAGGCAGATAAACTACACTCACTTTGGAGGTAAAAAACTAGTCACAACATTTAATTACCATGGAAGAAAATGCATCTTCTGTCCAACTTTTTTTTTTTTTTTAAAAGTTGGCTAGGAATCCAGAGCTACAGATAAATATATCTGCTAGTGAAAGCAAATCTGTTCAAAAATCCTGCCATTCTTCCCAGCAAATAAGTACAACAGAACTTCAATTATGGAACCCATGTTTCCTTCATTATGTTTGGAGAGCACTTCATCTCTGCCACACACTATATAAATTCATTATGCAGCATTATGCATTTCAAATAATAACATTTTATCTGTTCAACGATTTCATGAATTTCTTCTGGTGCATTTACTTTTATTAACTCCTTTTCAAATAAAAAGCAACAGCAAAATACCCATCCAATGTTTTTCAAAGAAGTGTGCAAGGACAAAGAGACCTCTGCCTAGATTACCATACCACAGAGCCTGCTGTCTCTAAAGCTTCAGTACACGGAAACACTGCATTCATGTATATTAAAATATTTCCATATAAATGAATGCATGAGCATCTAAACAACCGATCAAACTATTTTCAGGGAAAAAAAAAGTACTCGTAGCATTCTAATGTCGATAATTCACTTGAAGCATTCAAACCCATGTTTCATGAATATAACTGGAGGTCATTTTGAAACACTCTGCTGACTCATTCATTAAACCAGATGGTAAAAACGCCATAAATCTACCTGCAAAGTGTCCCTATCACTCAGAAACGTTTCAGCATAAATCATCCAGATTTTTCTTTTTAAGCAGTAATCATAAAAAAAATTCAAATCAACTGAGTGGCATCTTAAGAGTGTAAGTAATCCTGTACTTGTAACTGGGATGAGAAATTATTGTACCTTCATTTTACTCAAGCATAAAACAAAACTGACGACAAACCAAAAGAAGGAGAGGATTCATTTCCTCTTAAAGGTCTAGAAGTAAGAGATGATTGTTGAAGGTAACTTTATTGAGCAATAAAACAAATGAAGCTCCATCCTATGCACATGCATCCAGATTAGACTGAGAAAACCTCTTTCCACAGGTCCCTGATTTCTCAGGCAGATGCCTGACCCAGCACTGCAGAACTAGGTGCTACATGAACAATAATCATTGTTGCATGAACAATAATCAGATAAATAAATCAATAAAAGGATTATGTTCCAGGACCACGTCCACACAGATGTTAATGCTGATGCCCACAGAAGTGCTTCAGCAGCAATGAAAATTAGGAAACAAGCTGTTCTCTTTCTGAGGCTGGATCTTCTCAAGCGGACTTTCCTCCTGCCAACAGAAATAAGACAAACAGTGCCTACTGTACCCAAAATTAAAACAAGAGTGTGAAGGTATGTGTTCAGAAAGTAAAACAACGTCACATTGAATGTTCAAGAAAAATCATCAATAACCTCACGGCAGTACTCAGAAAAATCATCTAAAAGAAGTTTCTTAGAGTTGAATGAACATTGCTTTTCTACTGAAAAATATACACAGTATTTTGTGTCGAAGTTAGAAAGTGACCTACAGCTCTGCCAACGAACACAGAAACGCTATTAAATAGAACTCACCAGAACACATTAGTGGATATTCTTCCAGTTACAGAGCAGACAACCTACAAGGCCTCACCTCATCACTGTCCTGCCCGGCACAGGACCTGGCTCTGCCCTGCTCCTCACATCCACCCCGAGGAGCCACGCTCACCCACAGACAGCATCAGCATGCACTGTAAAAGCAGCATTAGTCCTTCTCTTTCCATTCAGAATTAAATTTACTGCTGAACACATCAAGCCTTGATATTACACTTTCCTTCAGTGCTGCACATATGTCACTCCAAAATTATTTATGGATTTTTTTTTGTGGGGTGGGGGGAAAGAAAACCATACACTAAAAATAAGCAGATAAAACGTAAGGATCCAGCCCCAGGAAACTCCAACCTCATCTCAAACTGCAGTAGAGCTGTAGGGATTAGCACACACCTCGCAGAGCAAAAGGCACAAACGGCTCAGTGCTGTGTGGGGATACCTTGCAAGCACATGCAAACCACAACCATGAGCACCACTGGAGGGGATAACAGCTGGGTCCATCTGGACCTTCCTCTCAAGATTGAGATTATTAAATCAAGGCTCATTTACCCAAACTTAACAAATTAAACCCAAACCTCAAGCCCTTGGCCTAGAGGAGCTGTTACCCTCTTAGCAGACTTGGGATCTCTGACATTAACTTTAAGGAGCAGCTCCAGGTTGCTCTGACAGGTCAGATATCACTGAGCATGCTCTGCTCCTCACAGGGCTCTTCTATCCCCCACTGTTTAGTGTAATAAACAGGATTAAAGGCAGATACTGTTATCTGATTAAACTGATAAGATTCTACTTATATAAATACAAATGTAACAGATTTCCACCTGCTAATCCATAGAATGACTGAGACATCAGTTACCTCAAAGGAAATGTACAACTAAGGCTAATGCAGAATTATGCATGTACCCTCTTCCCTTACTAGGGACATTCACAGACATTTTACATGTTCTGAAAAAAACAGATTTCAAAACCTTCTTCGGATACTGTATTTTTTGTACTCTGAAGTCATTCAGGAGTTCGATGCATGTAGCAAAGAGGTTCTGATTGCAGTCAATTGCAGAGGGGGATTTCTGCCTAGCACAGAGACATTTAAGAATAAACCAAATCGTATCTCTTTTGAATATGGCAACGAACATATGAAGCCATCACATAGCCAAAAAAATTTCACAGAAACACCTATGCTAAAACCTAACTATATATTTAGTCATTGCATTTGCATGTTAACCACAGAGATTATAAAATGAGAGATCTCTTTCAGAGACCATAAAAAATTACAGTATTTACATTCTTTTTGATAACTCTGCTAAATATTGTTTCATTGCATTTCACTGTCAGAGACTGTAAATAGATTCCAAATCAGAAAGATCTGCTGCACTGAGAGAATAAGCAGGAAAGCAAAAACATCCCCTTCTATGTTCTTTAACACAATTCTCACAGCAAATAAATCAGGAAATACAATAAATCCCACCTTTAGAGAAGGCTCTTTCAAAGATGCTATTTCTTCCCTGCGAGCAACACCTTCCTGGAGAGGGATTTTATCCGCATATAAGAAGTGTCAGAAACCTCTGGGAAGAAATGTAGCAGCATTGGTATTCTGCTCAGAAAATGTCATCACAGATCTGTTTACCTTAACTGTGGACCATGATTCAGCCAGTGACAACCGTCTTGCATACTGATCAATTTATTTGCAGCAAAATTACTAACATTTTCTACTTTAACCATTTAGGTTCTGGAACCAGTTACTTAGATAGGGAGAGCTTTTAGGATTAACGGATAAATCTTGCTTAATTTTACAATTTTCCTTCCAGCAAGATACTCTGTATTTTGAGGGGGGGGAAGGCCCCCCTCATAATCTTGAAGAAAAATTAGGGCACAGTGAGTTGTTATCAAAGAAATGCTCCTTTCTTAAGAATTTAAATGAGATTTCTCATCCTTCTGCATCACAGGTGAATACTAAGGGGAAAAACGAAGCAGTTAAGCCAGTCATTTTGGGGGACCAGCGAATCATTAGACACAGTCAGAAACCATATAAGAGATGCCCTAACTAATGGTTAAAGACCACCGTCTTCGCCATGACCCCAGAGAAGGCACTAACAGCTATCAGGGCAATGCAGCAAATCTATCAGACATCTAATACGTCCCACCAGTAGACTGGGAGAACAGCAGGTGAAGCCACAGGGCTGAAATTGCTTGTGGTGCTTCTGCAATTCACTGCTGTGCCCGCAGGACCCATTGGGGAAGTCCTGGCCTCTCAGTACAAAGCACCCCTTCTGCATGCTTTGCAGTCCAGGACCATGAGGATGTGCAAAAGGAGGCCAGATGCAGACAAAAAAATTAAAAGTAGACCCTGACCAGTAACATTCTGATATACTTCAGGGGAATTGCTCCCATCTAGTTTGGGGAAGAG